TAAATAAATTTCAAAATTTTATTTTAATAATATAGTTTTAATATATTTTTATCAAATTTTATAGTCTAAGGTAAATAAATTTTAAAGCTTTTTATTTTTTATAAGTTTTCTTTTCTTTTTTTTTTTAATTTTTAGATGTAATAATTTATATATATATTTATAATTTAATATAAATAAAATTTAAATTTAAAAAGCTAGATAATACATTAATAGTGAAAAATAAATAAAATTTAAAGTTTTCTATTTTCTATTTTTTATTTTTATATAAAAATATTAAATTAAATACAAAATTTCAAATAAACTAAACACCAACGTGTTTGACATGTGTTTAAAATGTGGCGCTAACTAATATTTAAGGTCAGATTTAACAAAAATCTGGATGAAAGTAGTATTTGGATACAACGTTAAAAGTTTGAAGACCAACAAATAACATTTGAAAGTATATGGATAAAAAAGATATGCAATTCAAAGTGTAAGGATCACGCTGTAACATGTTGAATTAATTTGATTTGTCACCGTAATGTAATCACTCTCCAAAGTGGTTGCAATCTCCTGAATAAAACTTTCAAGTATTTGAGAACGAAACCAGCATAAAAATGGTCACCAAATCCTGATAGGATGATGACAACCACGTTAGGGTTTGGTCAAGCACATTAAGAGCTTTTGAGAATTTGATGAAGAAGTCGAGCGAAAACACGTTGCGCACAACAATTTAAGATCAAGTTAAAAGAGTAAAGATTTCTGAGTTTTGTGATTTTTTTTTTAGCTTTAAGCTGTTTTCAAAGAAAAGGAAAAATAAAAAAAGAAAAAATTGTTACGATTTTTTAATAAAAAATCCCTATCTCAAAAGTTTATTAAAAAGCTGAAGGGATTGGGAATTTGATCTTCTATACAATCGAACTATGTTGGATAGATTCAAAGTCCAGAGTGCTAACCACCACATGATTGAAGCAATGTCAATCTATAATGTACATTTTCAAAACCTAAACCCTAAACATTGCACCATAGAAGCAATACTAAAATATTATGTTTCCAATAATAATCACATCATTACAAGAAGACGTCATGTAAAAATAGTTTGACTAAATTATAAGGGTTAAAAGCTGATGCGAAGGTGATAATGAGAGAAATAGGGAAGTTGTGTACGGAAAGATTTTAGATTGATTGCAATCAAAATGCTTTCCACTTAATTCAAAACAAGGTTTCCTTAATTATGCCATGAATAAATGAGTAAAGTTTTGGGTTGAAAGCAAAGACAGAATGAATTGTTGAGGGAGGGAAAATGCATTTGGGCATTTGCAGAAATCAAGGCTGGATTGAAGACCTCATTTGTGGCAGGGCACGTAACTAAGTGACTTGTGCATCTACACATATTTAGGTGCAAACTCGATCCCTAGCTACCTACAACTCTATCATCACCACCAACTCCTCTATCATTCATTTTTCAAAACTCCTTTTTTTACCTCTACTACTTACCATCCTTCTCAATCACCCTAAGCATTCATGCAACCCATCAATCCTGATGTTTTGTTGGAATTTTCACACTTACAAATTAATTATTCCAATCTTCATAATTCAAGCCCAACAAAAATGAGGGTTGCATGCATGCTTATGAGTATATAGAATATATATATTTTATGCCTACATAACATTACTTTCTTTTTATTTTTTTCAGAGTTTAAGTAAAAATCTTTAACAAAGAAATACAACTTCCTTTACAATCAGAACTGAAACAAAACCTTCTGAATCTACAAACCACGAAAACACAAAAAACAGAACAATTATTAGTGTTTGAAGGAATTTAATTAATTAATAAATGATCAAGTAACTGTTCATTTCCTTGAATGAGTATTTATCTCAAATGCAAAACTTACATTAAAAAAAAAAAAAATTCCAACATTTACTGCACTTGTTTCTCAAGTTTCTTGCTTTAGGCTCTTTCTATAATCAATTATAGCTTAAAAAACGTGTTTGAAACCTTAATTTTATACATTATTTTATAATTAGTGAATGTCAGTAAAATACAATATAGATACAGATAACCATTACTTTTTTTAATTTTTCTTTTAGTCAGCTGATCCATGCAAAGAGAAAAGCTTACTAAAAAGAAATTAAAGAAGAACAGGGACATTCAATCTTCATTGAATCCAGCATAAGCTTCGCATGTGGTCCATGCTGTTTGAATTAATTCAACTTTTAATTCACGTTTATATGGGTCAAACACGCATTTAACTGGTGTGGACAGAGGACTCCAGAAGTTCAAAGTGTGCAGAATTCCTCCGAAATTGGTTATGACAACTAATTAAAATTTTCTTCTCTCTTTTATTTATGACAACTAATTAAACACTAATTGCTCATGTTTACATTGCATAAAATGCTCCAATTTCTAAGGGCAGCAGAGGTAGAGCCACAAGACAAGATAAAAAAGTGAAAAAACCATCATGTTGTCCTGATTTTTGCATGGCTGATGATTACATTAAGATATAATTTTATGAAAAATAAAAATAAAAGAAAATAACCTAAGTGGGTTGATGATGCTGTTAAATCAAACTTGGAGTTTTAAATCAGAATTTATAGATGCACTAATCATAAAATATGAAGAGGAATCAATTTAAATTGTATACATATGTGGAACTACTTATTTTAATGTATTATTAGTCGTTGATTATTGAAATTTATTAGTAATTAGGCAAAAAGCAAATCCAAAAAGGAAAGAAAGATAAAAAGAAATTTAAAAAAGAAAAGGACCATCGATTTGGACCCAGCAATCCGTGATATAAGCTCCCCCTGATTCCAAAACTTTGTTCGTCATTATCTTGGCTTACCCCACCAGAAAGCCAATAATGATATGCTTGTCATTATCGCATGCCAATAATGATGAGATGAACTGGCTTGAGCTTGGTGAACGACGGGGAGGCAGCCACAAGTTTAGGCCATCGTGGACCAAAAGTTTTTCGAGACTGGTTCGATCAAACTATAATATCTATCCCCTTCCCCTCCCCTAGCCTGCTCACACGGTTCCCAGTTCAATTATATGAGAGGATATGTCCATCTCCAAATCCTAAAACAATAAATAATACAAATGACGTGACCTTTTCGTTAAGCTGATATCAAGCAATAACTCATATGATAATAAACATGCGACAGAACCCCACGTTTGATATATACCCCTCCTTTGCTATGATCCATTTTTAATCCCACATTTTTCTTTTATTTTTTCTAAAGGAAATTTCGTTTTCAAATTGAAGTCTCCAGCCAGCGGCCATGAACCTAATTATTTCCTTAAGATGCTAGCGGCCATGAACCTAATTGTTTATTTTGCTGTAAATTTTGCAGTTTATTATGTACTAATTAATTAATACTATATCATTATCATTTATCACCCACCAAATGAATAGCTTAACTGGAATTGGGATGGAATTAGGTTGGAAAAACTCAATTCATTTGGTGGGTGATAAATGATAATGATATAGTATTAATTAATTAGTACATAATAAACTGCAAAATTTACAGCAAAATAAACAAGGCTTTTAAAGGAAAATCATGTAGCAGTCCAAGAAATCCCAAGCAATGAAATACTTGTTGATATCCGTTTACGTAGAACCATGAATCTGGCCAGCTCTCTGATTTCCACCTATCATTCCCAGACAAATTCCAAACATTTAATACATACAAAGGAACAATACAAACAACATTATTTGTTTGCTGGTCATATTTTTTTGTCATGTTTCATTTTCCACCTCTCTCTCATATAACTGAAAAAAAAAAAAAAAAAAAAAAAAAAAAAAAAAACAAAGACTTGAAGGAGAAAAAGGTCAGATTCTCCTAATGCCGCACGAAACCCTTGCATTGCACAGCATCAAAACGCTACGCAATCAAACAAAAGCAAATTTAACAACCAACAAAAAGTTTTTTGAGAGAGGGTTTTAGGGCTGAAGCGGATGAGCCCGCTCCATTTTGTCTCTCTATGTGTTTATACTTTAGTCTAATTAAGTTAAATCATCTTTAATTATTCACATCCTCAAGACGAAAGAGAAACGGCTTTGATGTTGTTTTTTCATTACTTCACGTGAATTAAAGCTTTTCGACGGACACCTTTTGCGGTCTATTTGTAACGTAAATTCTACTCTCTTGCTCATGTGGTGCCACCCCGGCGCTTGGCGTCTCTCTCCTCCCTTGCTATCTCACATTTATTTAATTTTAATTTAACTCAAAAGTGAAATACATGTATATTTATCCTTATCAATATCATTTACACTCACTTATAAAGCGTAAAAATCATATTTGTGAATGAGAATGATAAGTGTAAAAAATAATATAAAAAGTAATGAAAATGATTTTAATTATTTTTTTGTTAATAGAGTATTGGATTTTTAGTTTCAATTATAATTCAATTGCTAACAGTATAAAGTATAAAAAAAAAAGTCTTTTCATTATTTTTTATTGAATAAAAAATTCAATCTTAATTTTTTTTAATAGAATACAATTTACTTTTTACTTGTCAAATATATATGCATTTATCATTGAATATGTGTCTCTGATATATTTTAAATTATTAAATAGTAGTTTTTTATGGTATATGATATGATCATAATTTTAACATTTTTTACGGGTGATTAATTTGGCATCCTTTGATCATTAGACATACCAAAAAGAAATTATACTAATTAATTCAAAAACAAAATACTTTTTAAGTAGTTAAACACAAAAAGATAGCATACTAATACTACAATCAAATTAGGAAAAAACTTAAAGTGTGTTAAGAAATAAAAACGTTTTGCAAATGAATATCCTAAATTCATTTGTTAACAACAATTTGAAGAAGATTGTTTGAGTGGAAATTAAATACATAAACCGGAAATGGGAGGGAAGCTTAATAGTACTGTTGATGGCTTGCCAAATAGGTTGGAACGCGGGATACGCGACTAAAGAGGCACGTGGAATAAATAGATTTTATGCTAAGCTACCTACTAATGCTCATATATAAAAACCCTAACCTTCCTTTGAGCTAATGCATGAGATATAAAGCCTTCGGGTCTCCCAGCTAGAGTGTGAGAAAGAGAGCTAGCTAGGGTTTCCCTTCCAGGCTACTCTGCTTCTGCTTTTAAACAGAGATTTTAAATCTTTTAAAGTACTTTTTGTTTTGTTAAAGAGAGATGACTATAATGGGTGATCACCGTTCCGGTGCAGTTGCATTTGGCATCTTAGGTAATAACAAAATGCTCCTTGCATGCACCCTCTTTTGTTCTTCACTTCCATCACTCTTTTTCTGACATAAAACTGAAGATTGAATGAAGAGGGATCGATAATCATCAGCTTGTCATAATCATAATAGCTCAGGGGAGTTTCATTTTTTTTTTTTGGGGGGGTAGGGGGGATCTCAGTTTTATTCCTTATTCCACTTTCACCTGACCCATGTTCTTTCACTTTTAGTTTCTTCTTTGTTTTCGTGTCCTTTCATCCCCTCTTTTGAGAGTTCATTGAAGCCTTTTCTCCACGGGATTAATATTTGAACGCTAGGTCTGGTTTAGGTTGCTCATTCTTTAATTTCCTTCTTAATTTCTCCATCCTCTGTTTCATTAATTTCAGGAGGATAGAGTCATAATTTGTTCAAGTTTTAAGCAACTAATAATACTATTGTTGTTCGCTCTATTTGTTCTGAACAAGTTAACTAGTTTGTCTCCTTGTTAGGAGTTCCTCCAATTTTACCTAAAGATAAAATTAAATTAATATTTAGTTGTATATACTTTTAACGAAAAAAATACTACACATGCTATTTCGCTTTCAAAAATCTAGTGTTGTCACCTAAATATTGATGATCCACCTACCTAATCATATGAAATAATTCATTTATTTTGTAACAGAAGTATAAGATTTTTTTATTTATTATTTTCCGGTTGAACAGTGAAAACTTTATGAATATATATACCAATGAATTTGTTTGCAATTGATGACAGGTAACATCGTCTCAGTCCTTGTATATCTCGCTCCAGTGTAAGCATCGGTCTATTTCATTTCAGCTTCTTTTTCATGACTCAAATTAAATCAATTAGATGAAGAATTATAATAACCATCCCTTTTTTTTTTTTTTTTTTTGGGTTTTCAAAAAACTTTCAGACCAACATTCTACCGAATTTACAGAAAGAAATCAACGGAGAGTTTCCAATCACTGCCATACCAGGTGGCATTGTTCAGCTCAATGCTATGGCTGTATTACGCGTTGATGAAAAAGGATGCTTTCCTTCTCATCACCATCAACTCATTTGGATGTATTGTGGAGACTGTATACATATCTATGTACATAGCTTATGCAACAAAGAATAGCAGGGTAATTATTAGTATCATCAAATTCACTTAATTTCCCTCGTAATACTATTTTTCAAAAGGAGGGTTTAATTGGCAGCTTACATATGTATTCTAATTTTTGGGATTGCAGATGTCTGCTATGAAACTCTTTGTAGCTATGAACGTGGGGCTTTTCTCTTCCATTCTTATTCTCACACAGTTCCTGGTGAAAACTTCAATTCGTATCCAGGTCCTTGGTTGGGTTTGCGTTGCCATCTCTGCATCTGTCTTTGCAGCACCCTTAAACATTGTGGTGAGTATTATATATATATATATATATATATATATATATCAATTTGCTTGTCTAATGATCCATTTAATTTGTACACTAATTTCTTATAATTATTTTTAATTTCAGGCACGAGTTATTCGAACAAGGAGTGTTGAGTTCATGCCTTTCAACTTATCATTTTTCCTCACATTGAGTGCAATAATGTGGTTTGCTTATGGACTATTTACTAAGGACCTCTGTGTAACTGTAAGTTGTTGTTTTCTTATCATGCGGTGTCTGTACGTCACTTCACTTTGAGGCACTAATTGATTCTTTCTGATTTGTTTCCTTGTCAATCGGTAGCTCCCGAATGTTCTAGGCTTCATCCTGGGGATGCTCCAGATGCTGCTGTATGCAATTTACAGAAACACCAAAAAGGTTGTAGAGGAGAAGAAGAAGAAGAAGCTGTCAGAAGAAATAGAAACTATAGACGTTGTCGTCAGCACATTAGGCGTCTCTGAAATTTATCCCGTATCTGTAGTTGTAGATACTAACACTAATAATACAAAAGAAGATGATAAGAAAGAGAATGAACAGACAGGGGACCCCGATCAAACCAATCACAAAAGCTTGAAAGATTCCAGTGACCTCCACTCAAATGAATCATGTCCTGTTTGATTAAACACTATAGTTTACCCAGTTATCATTTAATTTGTTGACACTTCTGATGCCTCAAACTGCTTTCCTCATTTCTTTTCATATCTCTTCTAGTTTTTGTTCCATTCCATTCCCCACCCTAGCCCTTATCCACAGAACAAATGAGCCAGTGGCCGCTCCAAAAATCATGACTACATATGTATTATAGTTTGCCCCATGTCTATTTATCTTGTATGTCATTGATCCAGAATATGTACTCTTTCTCCCGTTTTCCAAAAAATCTAAGTATGGCTCTCTTTGGTATTGTTCATGATTGAACCGAAATACTACTAGGAATTGTTTTCCTATTATTGCGCTTATAAAATTGACATCCGCAAAAAATACGTGGCTCTCACTGAACGCTTGAGTGAGGCAGGTTTCGAATCATTTATTCATTCACAACAAGGCACAGCTGGATGCAATAGGGTATGGGTTAGGAGCCATATTGTTTCATAAGGAAATGTGAGAGATGGGAGAAACAGCTTTTTCCTTTTCCATTTTTGGTTGTTCCAACTGGCTGGTGGAATTGGTATGAGAAATTAATAATTTTATTTCTCATCCTCAACATGTACTTCGAACTACGTCCCTCTACATATTTCCTAAATCCTGAATTCCTATTCTTTGCTTCCAATAACTCTCTGACATACGACTAATCGACCATAATTTTCACTACAAGAAAAACATGGCAATAGACCGGAGATTATCATCCCAAAAAACATTTTTACCCACCAATCTTTCGACAAAAATCCGATTTTCGGAATCCGTCCGTATTTAAATCACTTTTTTTTTCTAAAAAAAAAAAGAAAGCTACAGTTCATGCTATGTATTTTAAAAGAAAAAAAATAAATTGAAGTACCCTCTTTTTAATCTCCTCTACCGTCTTTTCCTCTTTAGCCTTCGATTTTTTTTTTTTAAGAAGTTATATTTATAATAAATATTACATTTATACAATTAATTGAGTAATCAATTGTTATATTATTAAATAATTACTTAATAAAATATAATTTTATTAAATAATTAAACTCATATACAATAAAATTTAAACTTAGAATCTTAAGATTTTAAAATTTCTTCCTCTTTGACCTTCGTTTCTAATTTTAAACTCGGTTCAACAATTTGTTTCCAAGTTGCGTAGGTACGTACATGGGAAACTAAGGACGAGTGTTTCACAATTAAAATAGACATTCAGATTAATATCAATATTATGAATGATTTTTAAATTATTATGATATATTTAATGTGATAATTAAATTTAAAAAAATTTAATATAATATTTAAATTATTAATCTATTAATTAATATAATATTTAAAAAATGATTTATCTGTCATATAACATTATTTAAACTTAGTCATGCTAAAAATAAATAAAATATTAATTAATAAATTTATAATTGAAATATTATATTAAAAATTTTTAAATTAAAATATCATATTAAATATTTTACTATGATTCAAGACCATAGACATGTTAACAATAAATTTTTTTCCTCATACTTTAAAACTAATGTAATTTATTTAAAAAAAAATTGATCCATCCATTAATTCATTTAAAAGAATTTCTATTGCGCATTGATCCCACCATATATAAACTCAAAAAGTAAAAAAAGTAACACATGGCCAAAAACAAACAAAATGAATAAGCCTCACGATATGACGAGTAACAGAGAGAGATGCAATGGAATCAGAAACTTGGAAAACCAGGCAAACTCAGCAGTTATCTTTCAATAGCCAAGATGAGAGAGCAAGACAGGTGAATAACATAAACATTGTAAACACAATTTGGTTGAAATGACCTGAATTAGTTGGTAAAATGTGTTTGTGTACCGAAGATGGATACAACATAACAGACAACAGACAGAAATGTTCCGTACCAAAGGGGACACAACAAGAGCAAGGATAACATTGACCCAGACGTCTTTACTCTCAAAATTTTATAAATACGTCTTGTTCTTCTCTTGCTCTCCTAGTTGATAATAATGTACACTCTCATCATCATCTTCTTCTATGCTTTAAAGAAAGGATATAAAGTAAAGAAAAGAAAAAAGAACAAAAATTTGAAAAAGTAAAAAAGGGAGGGAGGGGTTAAGAGCATGTCAGCACCAAAATTCTTACAGAGAGCACCACCTGTCTTCGCTTTGGAGGAAGGAAGAAAGTATTGCAAAACTTTTTGGATGGGGCAGGCAGAAGAAAACTAGAAATCCTTCTTCACCGGGTCACGTGAGAAAGCTGGTTAAACACAGTGGTGGAATATGGTGCACACCGGTTTAGTTTGGATACTACCCATTAGACCCATCGGAACTACCCTGTGCACTTTGTCGCCTTTTCTCTCGCCAATTCTCACCCCACATCTTGGCCTCGGCTACAGCCCGTTCCCTATCCAAATCCCTATTCAACATCCTGGCAGTTTCTCTGGGGGAGTCTTCCTTCTCAGAACCTTCCAAATCCCACCTAAGGCCAGATGCTCCTCCTTCGTCATTCTTTGATACCCTTCCTCCTCTGTCATCTTTATATCTTTTGTCGTCCTTATCTCCAGAGCCTCTGTAAACATGACCTGTTGTGTTAGGATCGTATGCCTGATTTGCCAAATACGAAAGAGCAGTAACCACATCGCCAATCAAAGGACGTGTGGCAGCCTGCTCTTGAATGCACATGGATGCCACAGCTAGAGCTTGATAGAGACCTCGCATTGGATATCGTCCCCGCAATCGAGGATCTGCCAATTTTGAAAATTTGCGGCGGTCATTGAATAATGGACTAGCCTGTATATACAAAAACAAGGAAAAAAATTCTCAATTATTAAATAGTCTTAGCCATTACTTGTTCCATTCTCACCAATCCTCCACAACATGATATGCAACCAAACTAAAAAAACAAATGCATTACCCATGTGACAAGGTTCTGTTCTCCATGGGGTCGTGTGCTGTCAATAGCTTTCCGTCCAGTAATTAGCTCTAAGAAGACAACCCCAAAACTATAAACATCAGATTTCACTGTCAATTGACCAGTCATGGCATATTCAGGAGCACAATAACCATATGTGCCCATAACCCTGGTGGAAACATGTGATTTATCTCCAACAGGACCAAGTTTTGCAAGCCCAAAATCAGATAACTTCGGGTGAAATCCTTCTTCCAGTAATATGTTGGAGGACTTGAAGTCCCTGTAAATAACAGGAGGGTTTGCTTTATCATGAAGGTATTCCAAACCTTTAGCTGCACCTGCTGCTATCTTCATTCTTGTGTTCCAATCTAGTGGTTCCTTCTCAGGTGGAAGATCTGCAGTGAGATTAATGACAGATTAAACTATAATCGAGTTTACCCCTTCCTGCTAATATAATATCTGTAATTAACTGGCAGAAAACAAGCACAATATGTCCAAGGGCATGACACTGCAAATCCTGCACAATCCATTCATAATAACTTAAACCAGAATATATCCAAAAATAAGATGTGACATTAACATCTGTGTCAGTCGACAACTACATCTGTTATTGATAGTAAAGGCAAACGTTTTGAGGCTTCCAGACAACAAATAGCATATGGCATTATGCGAGTGAGCCACAAAACAGACCCATTGTTAGGATTATATGCTCATGGCTCATTATCAGTTCCAAAAATAATTAGGCTTAGTTTAACCATATAGTTTGTTGGAAAAATGTGATTGAAAATTGTTGAATCTGTTTGGTGAAAAGCCACCTTTTTTACTCAAAACTTAGTTTAGGCAGAAAACATTGAATCTGTTTGGTATAGCAGTTGCAGCGCAAACCATGATTTTGCATGTCAACCACATTGCCAAACTCAGCCTTAATCTAATACAATATAGCTGTAAGGTTAATTTCCATGTCAAATACCCAAGCGACAAGGTCATCTTGTGCTCATGTTGATAGCCAATGAGTACAACAATGTTCTTGTCTTGTAGATAGCAAATCTCAACAAACTTGGATATCTAGATTTTCTATACAGGCCTTTTTCTTCTTTTTTTTGTTTCTTTTCTTTACCAGCTCTTGAACCTTGCTCTCAGAGATTAAATGTCCAGCACCTAACCATTTAGGACAAGAGGAAAGCCAGTGATTTTCTAAACAGTTAATTAAAGATTCTAGCATGAATTCTGAAACCACCAAGTACGGCAGAAAAGACCAACAGGAAAACTATTCCAACAAAGATTTATCCAAAGTCATAAGCACAAACATTAATGTTACAAGTACATAACAGAGCAACAGCATGAACTTTTAATTATAGAAATATTTTAACCTCATCAACACATATATTATAACCCAAAGCTAAGCTTCTACCATGGAAGATAAACATATTAAAATATAATTAAAACCACAACTAAGGTATTGTTTGATAAATTAAACTAATTAAATATTAAAAGTTACATACTGAATCTTTAGTTTGAAAATTCAGTATTGAATATATGATATAATACCCATTTTGTATGCTACTGAAAATGAAATGTTTCGTTGATCTTTTATTAATTTTTTACAAATGAGTGATACGACTTTATAATTATTCAATTTGTGAAAATTAAAAAGGAAAGAATAAATGGTTAAAAAGGATAGAATATATGATTATTGTAATTAAATAACAATTTTTCTCTAAATAAAATTGACTAAATACAATAAGTAGGTAAAAGCTGCTTAGCATTTTCAACACCTTTTTATTGAAAATCTTCCATTAAGTGGTTCCAAAAATCATTTATCAATCGCATTGATAAAATAAAACCATTGAAATTTAAAATTTTTAATGGTTTGAAAATTTTCAATGATGTATCAAAATCACCCTAAATATCTAACATGTAAGATAAACAGATTAAAATGACTTGACAGCCCAAAATGAGATCAGAGGCATAAGACTACATATAGGAAGAAGACTAAAAAAACACATCACCAGTCCCCCTTTCTCTTCCATTTTGCTATAATTTTAATTACACCTATCTCTATTGGTAGTACACAATAATACAAGCTCCAATGACACCTAGAATAGATTTTGACATAACCATATCAATAAAAGATATCAAGGAAAAACAACAAGAGAACTACTTAAGTAATTTTATCTAGAAGGCATAGATTTTGACATAACCATATCAATAAAAGATATCAAGGAAAAACAACAAGAGAACTACTTAAGTAATTTTATCTAGAAGGCATTACAAGAATATATTGTTATCAGACAACAAGAAAATATTTAACTTGGCTTTATCTTATCAATAAGAAACACACAAAAAAGAAAGAGTGAATAATGCAGCATTGGCGTAAAATATTAATTAATTTATTTAAGGCTGTTAGGACTATCTATATGTTAAGACATAACAAGGATTTAAGCCTGTTGACCCTGAGGATTGGACATGCAGAAAACAAGAAGTGCAAGAAAGCTCAAACCAGAGAATGAGCATATATAAATCACCCCTCAGTTCTCATATTGAAATGAACGCAAACGCAAATGTAAATGCTTTAACAGCTAACAAAAAGAAATTCTCTTTGATAACTTGAAGCACATATAATTAAAAAGCCTCTCTGGCAATTACTTATCATTAATTTGGCATGCTCTTAGAAGCTTACTTTACTATTACTGGCTTTTCAAGACTAAAAGAAAACAATAATACATCCACCACAAGAGAATGAATAATGAATGCCTAACTTTTGAACTTTGAAATGATGTAAAGTTTTAGGTATTTTCTCTGGCAAGATGATCTCATGCAGTGTTCAACTTAGCAAACAGCAGGCTTTATATGAAAGATGACCAAATAATATCTTCTACCCATATCCTTTAGCATCATATCCAGTCAAAGATATTCCTTTCATCATTTTTGGATAACACTAATTACCTCCTCACAACAACGTTGGCTCCAGTTAAAAATCTCAGGAGCTAGAGAAACAATGTCTGCAAAAAATTTGTAAGTTCCTTAATCTAATGCTGACATGCTACACCAACCTCAAAATGCTAAAATTCTTAAGTTCAATATAGCTCGGTCAATATCTAAAGTTTGCAGTAGGACCTGATTCTCTGGATAAAATCAATTAATGTGAAAAAGGAAACATATTATATCATTAAACAACCAGAAGTGCACCCAATTATTACCATGAAGGTGATCTTCCAAGGATCCCAAGGGCATGAATTCATAGACAAGAAGCCGCTGATCTCCATCAGCACAATAACCAATCAGGTTAACAAGATTAGGATGATGAAGGAGGCTGAGCATGAGAACCTCAACCAGAAATTCCCTGTTACCCTGGAGACCATTTCTATCCAACTGTTTGACTGCAACTACCTGCAAAGGGAAACAAATATATATCTAAGAGACATAATGACATGAACTCCTCAAGCCATACAAGATTAGTTAGTTATCCCAACTACCAAGAAACAAAAATTTGTGTAATTTCAGGAAAAAAAACCCGGAAATCCTCTTTCAAATCTCTTATACACATCACATGTATGACAATCCTGTAACAAGGGAATAAAATAGTTTTGACAGACACATAAAATTTGTTGTCCAAATTGCATGGTTAATTGGTTATATATACTGCCGATAATGTTTCATCTCTTCGAAAAATTGTCTAACAATAACAACTGATGCTGCATGCAGCAGTAGATTTTCAGACTCATCCCAGACCTCAGCTATCATGACAACATCAAGTGGAGGATTTGGACGGAAAAACTACATTTTACCACCATGACCGACTCCAGGAGGATGAATGCTGCTCTACCAGAGGGTCAACTATGTCAAGTAGCAAAAATCATACCCAAAAGGATAAAAATATACTCAGATATTAATTAGTTCATCTTCAATGGACAAAACATTATCACTTGAGAGTTATTAAAATAAACAGCTGCATCCAAGTTCAATAATTGAACTTTTAAATAAATGCACTCTTAAGACTCAACTGTATATAACCTCTTTGATGGGAGCTGGATCAGAACACATAGCAACAATTTAGGGGAGTTGAAAACCCTGATGAAGAGTGCAAACTAACACTAATAATTGGTAATTTTACCAAATAAATTCTTAATGGTGAAATTGCCAATTTTACTGATGCTTCACTTGCTATGTTAACAAATGTTAAAATGTTAGATAAAACAGTGCATTTTCTTTCCAAACACTCAGTCCTCAACCACTAAATATCTACATAACTTCCATGAATGGTTGAATTTAAGAATTCCCTTCAGGGTATAATACAGAAAGGAATGCTTGAGCAAAATAAGCAAAGGCCCAGAAGTGGCAAATTGTGAAAACACTGCAACAATAATAAGATTACCTGACCAGTACTCTCAAGCCGCCCTTTGTACACATGTCCAAATCCACCTTCCCCTAAGAAAGACTCTGGCCTGAAATTCTTTGTTGCAGCTGCAAGCTCTCGGAAAGTAAAAGTTTGAGCAGCAATTTGGACACCAGGCCCATCCTTGGGACTTGGTAATTCCCTTCTGGACTCTCCATTACTTCTTGATCTAAGCCTGTCCCCTCCTGCAAACTCCATCAAAAAACATAGTATTAAAGATCTAATTACCATTTTAATGCAAAGAAACAAGCAAACAAGAAAAAAGAATATAATCTCAATTCTCAAGCTCAGTGAATGGAGAAAAGACACAAATTTTCATTGAAAAGGCAATAATTAGCTTCATCAAGCGATAATTTCCAATGATGGATTTTGCTTATCATAAGCTAATTTCAATTTAAGATATTGAATTACTGCAAAATAAAAGACATATATACTGGATTTTGAATTAATTAAAATTTTTTCAAACTAACCAACTATCGAACAGATCAGCCAAGTGATCAAAATCATCATTAGATCCTAATTCCATTACAAAACAGGGTGGGGCTACTGAAACAACCCAACTTTTACATCTCTAAAAATTTTATGAGGATAAATCAAAACAAACATCATCATCAAAACTTAGGAAAGCATAATGAATCAGAAAGACCCAGATCAGATCAAGTAATAAGGGAATAAATTTAAGGCTTTTTTCAAGAAAAACAAAGCTAACCTGAAGATAACCTGGAAACGTTAGAGGAAACGGTTGGTCGGCTTTGCTTTCGATCATCGGTTTCTTTGACAGGATTTAACTTCTCCTCTTCCTTTGAGTCGAAACAGGGAAAACAACCCATCCTCTCCAAATCAAACCAAACGCAAAGAAGAAAAAAAAATCCTCAAATTTCTGAAATATATCAGATTTACAATAGAAAAAAAAAAAGCTAATCAACGTTTCATATCCAATCCTGTTTTCTATAAACAAAATTTTTTTGGGCACTCTCCTCTCTCTTACTGTTATCCGATCAAATCATCATAAAAAACAAACGATGAAATGAATCCAACTTCTAAATAAGAATAATAGAGAGAAGGGAAAAATAAAAAATTGAAGTTGAAGTTGAAGTTAAAGCTGAGAAAGGAAGAAATTTCGAAGAAGAAGAAGCCGGCTTTTGTCTTCGGCTTCGTGTACACAAAACTTATAGCTCCCACACTCTGACCATATATTTCTGTTTCTATTAAATACACAACAAAAACTTTCCTCTCGCTTCATTTTCTCACATTATTACTAGCTTCTTCATTTCTACAAGCATTTTTTTTAACCTCCCAGTTATTCTTGCACTAAAATAAACATTTTGTTGAATAAAATTAATAATAATAATAATAATAATAATTTTTTATTTACGTGTCAAAAGGGGGACTGTCGGAACACGAGCGAAACGAAGAGAAGAGATGGAGATGGGTTGACTGCGTCAGGGGATCGTTTGTGAAGTATAGAAAAGTTATGTACTTGATATAAAAATTATATCTTAAAATTTTTATTGATATAAATATAAAATATATTATTTTAATTTTATTAAAATTTTAAATTATCTCATATTTATATCTTTTTATAATTTATTAAAATTATAATATTATATCATATTTTAAATTATTAATTACTCAGCTACTAATAAAACTATAAAATATAGGCTTTGATCGAGAGACATCGAAGCTGATTTCAAGCTAATCTTAACCCAATAAATTTGTTTAATTCATTGAAATTCGATCCAATTTAAAATAATAAAAAATTAAAAATTTAAATTTGTTTGATTTGAAATTAAAATAATTTAAATTTAAATTAATTTTGATTTTGAACTTATTATAATTAAAATGACTCAAACATTTAATTCAAAATGAGTTAAAATTAAATTGATTTAATTTTAAATTTTAATAATTTAATTTCAAAATTATTTAAATTTAATGATCTAAATTCAAATAACTCAAGTATTAAATTCGAAAAACTCAAGTTTTATATAATTCAAATTTCAAATATTTTAACTTTTTTTTTTAACTTAAGATGATTCGATGTAAAATAACTTAATTCAAACTTAATCTAATATATCTGATAAAAACCTTTTGACTTCTCTAAATTCAAGTTTTTAACCAGTGAGTTGAGTTATTTAAGTAAAATTCCCTTAAAAGTGCCCTACAAAAAAATTAAAATAATATTTCATTAACTTCTAATACAATATAAAAGATAGAAAATTACTCATTTGATAGTAGTATTTAATTTCTAACTCAAAAAAGAAATTTTTTATTTTAAACTTTTCTCTAAAAGTAAAAATGAAAATTTGGCGTAAATTAAAATTTAAAAAATCAAATACTCTATTTATTCTACTTTCACAATAAATTTTGTTTCCAATAAAAACAGAGCTAAAACACCTAGAAAATAAATATAAAATGTAATTCATAATTATATATAACTATTGCCGGTGGTCAAATAATGTCCTTTCAAATGTCAATGGCCCATCGTACGCGGCACGGTTGCGTAATAAAGGAAGCCACTTGATGCTTTCGGCTCAACTCAAAACCATTTTGCAGGTGCATAGTTTATATTATTGGACCTTTGCTTTCAATATAACAATAGAATATCATTATTAAAAAATTTTATATTAACATAAATAAATAGTCACTAAACTAATAACAATGTATAAATCAGATTTTTACAATGTAAAATTGAATGTGAAAAATTCTAATGGAGAATACAGCTCTCTGATGACAATAAAATTAATTAGTCAGTGTCAAGTATCTTTAATATTAATTAGCAAAAGCCAAATAATAATATTTTTAAATTTACACCTAAAAGATACACAACATAATTATTTTATATAAACAAAATATATAATATTACTAATAATTTGAGACATCTACCCACATAACAAGGAAAATAGAATAAAGGTTTCTTCATAAGAAAATAGAAAGCAAACAAAAGAAATGTAGATAGATTTCTAAAAGAGAATTAAAAACTTGTTTTTATTATTTATTTATTTATTTCTAATGCCCATTAATTTCTCTTAATATTGTCTTTCTGTTCTTTTTTACAACTATTTCTCCCTTTTTATTTATCACAACCAAACCAAACTACATTGTCAGAACATATATGTTAAACAAAATTTTTTCTCTATGTGAATGTGAACATGTTACAAAATTTACTTTACATGATTATTCTTTTTCATTTGGGTCTTTTTATCCAACTATTGAAGTTAGGTGTGAAGACTTGTTGCGGGTGGTGGTAAGGAAATCTTAAACTGCACTAATTTGCCTTTGCAAATGGTTTGGTGTATCTAAAACATATACGGTAACAGTGCAACTTATTTGGGAATTCGGACTCCATTCTGAGCAAGGATGTTAATAATTAGAAACATAAGTAAATTTGAAGAGGCTTTAAGAGTACAATCAGACTTATATTTGTCATTTCGGAGCCTAAAACCGTACAAGAATGTATTCAAAACAATTAAGATAGGGAAACTTTTAATTCCGTTGCTTAAACAATGGGATTATATATATATATATATATATGTATGCATTCCTAATCCCCACGTTATTATATTTTTATTTTTACTGTAATTTAGCCTACCCATTATGAAGTAAAATTTAGCATACCTATGAAAAAGAAAAAAAAAGGTTAAAGAAAAATTATTATGTAACTATTTTTTTTATTGGTAGTTTTTCTTTATTTAATGTGTGAATAATTTCAAAAACAAAATTAACTAAAAGATATTTATATTTGTCATGATATATATTTAATGCTACAATTAAATCGAGACTTTATCCATTTTCTAAGTGAATTGCTGCTACTTCACTTATGACACCAAACCTAATCAAACATTTTGACCCAGTATAGATAAATTGCTCATAATTGTCAAATGGATACGTCAATGCGATTGGAGCAAAAGTAGCTCCAACAGTGCCGCATGTTTACATCCAAACACTGCATAATAACTTTAGAAATCACAAAGTAACATCCAAGAACAAAGGGATTCCTAATTTCTGTCACATAAAGAACAGATTCTCGCCGCATTTCTCTGCCCACTTGAGGTGCATAAGATAACCAAAACAATTGGAGGGAAATGAATGCATTGCGAACAACAATTGGGGGTTGCTGGGGGAGTGGGGTGACGACGTGAGGGCATAAATCAAAAACCGAACTTCTTATAACTCAACGGTCAACGGCCAACTACCACCTTCCAAAAACCAACGGTCATAAGTTAGACAAAGTGGCTGGCACCCTCACATATCGATTCCCTCCAAACAAATTACAAAACCAAAAAATAAAAGAAAAAAAAGTTAAACCAATGGCAAGAAACATGGAACCTCAATTCCCGATATTTTCGTTATGATTTTTTTTTTTTGGTTAATCATCTAAAACTATCTCATCTTCACAAAAACAAGAAAGAAAGAAAAAAAATTGCCTTGGTTGGCCTGAATAATTAGACCTGATCATGGAGAAGAACCTGAACTGTGAAAAGTCTGGCAGCTTCTCGAGAATTCGCAAACGACGGAGCCAAAGTATATCAGAGACCATTAGTTTCAAATTGGACGGTCTGGAGCCAAGGGGATGCGGTGAGAATCAAAATCCTGATGAGTTTTCCTTGGAACCTGGTTTGAACCATGATCAGATCCTGGAAGAGGTTGATCAATTCATCGAAAAGCTAGCTTCGGGTCCAGATAAATGGAAAGCCTCAGAAATTTCAAATTTTATCGAGCCATTGTTGGAGATGGTTGAGTCCAGGATTGCAATTTATGAACAGAGGGAAGCGTCAGCGAAGTTTGGGCAAAACAAGGAGGAAGATACCTCTTTTTTTGAAGCTGTAAGCCGCTTTTCGAAGATCATAAATAATCTTGATGAATTCCTATTTGATTCGGGTACAACTTCTTGCTTCAATCGAGCAGGTTCTGTTCACCATCGTGCCATGTTGTTAGCAGAATTCGAGTTCAGTGCTCTTCTGGACAATTCTAAACGCAGCTGCAATATAAATATAGATTCGAAAACTCCGAAGACACCCAAGCAATCTTTCTTCAACTCCAATCAAGAGATGGATCGATGCATCCCACCCGAATATGACTCCAAAACAGAGGACGAGTTTCCATCTTTTTCACCTGAATCAATCGCCAATATGAACCAAATCGCCACCGCAATGATCTTTGCAGGGTACGAAGCAGAATGTTGCATTGTTTACAGTGGTCTTAGGTTAAAAGCATTGGATGTCGAGTTGAGCAAGCAAGGGTTTGAGAATATCAATGCGGACGATATTCAGAGGATGAACTGGGAATCACTGGAAGGAGAGATCGGTAATTGGATTCACATCGTCAAACATTGCTACACTAATCTATTTTCTGCGGAACGCAAGCTTTGCAATTCGGTATTTTCAGAACATCCTCTAATCGCTCAGAGATTGTTCTGCGACCTCGCAACATCCTTGACCCTAAGGCTTCTTAATTTTCCAAATGCACTGGTGTTGGCCAAACGATACTCGACGGAGAAACTATTCAAGTTTTTAGATATATACGAGACATTGCGTGATTTGATTCCGAACATTGGTGATAACTCGTCTGCGCAGGATTTGATATTAGAGACATCTGTGGCACAATGCAGGATAGGTGAAGCGGCGGTGAGCATATTCTGTCAGCTTGAGCATTCAATCAAGAGTGATAATGGGAGAATCCCAGTGGCAAGTGGTGCAGTTCATCCCTTGACTCGCTATACAATGAATTATCTAAAATACGCTTGCGAGTACAAGGACACATTAGAGCAAGTGTTTCAACAGCACTACAAGATGAAGGGATCCACCAGGCAGAGAGTTGAGGAGCAGGAGTCTAAGAATGCCATTGAAAAAGATGATTGGAGCCCCAAAATATCCCCTTTTTCAGTGAAGTTAATGATGGTCATGGATTTGTTAGATGCCAACATCGACTTGAAATCGAAGCTGTATAGGGACCCAGCATTGCGTTACATTTTCTTGATGAATAATGGGAGGTATATTTTGCAGAAGATCAAGGGGTCCACGGAAATCTACGAAATGATGGGTCATTCTTGGTCGCGGAAACGAACTTCGGATTTAAGGCAGTACCATAAGAACTATCAAAGAGAAACATGGAGCAAGGTTTTGCAGTGCATAAACCACGAGGGTTTGCAAATGAATGGGAAGGTGTCAAAGGCTATATTGAAAGAAAGGTTCAAGAATTTCAACACCTTGTTCGATGAAATCCTAAAGACGCAGAGCACTTGGGTAGTTAGCGACGAACAGCTTCAATCAGAGCTTAGAGTTTCGATATCAGCCGTGGTGATTCCAGCATA